AGTCACCAACATCTGAATGCTGCTTTGTCCTGAATGACTGTGTTGTAAAAATCTCAAAGTACATCTGACTGTTTTTATATTGGGTTTTGTCAGTGTGGGCATTCCTTCTGGCTGTGTGTGAGTGGTATCTTCCTCTTTTGTAGTTTGTTTGCCTTTGCTGGGGGAAGGTCTGAGTGTTTACATTTTGAGAGGGACAGAGTTTTGTTTTAATGCAATATATATTTTAAAATTTATAGTAAATCATTATCTTTTGTTCAGAAGTAGAGAAACGCTTATCACTGACTTAAGATATCAATATTCAGACATTTGTTTCCTCTCTACACCAGTTTTAATATAACACACACATACACAGAATCATAACATTTTAGAGCCACAGGGATCTTAGTGATAATGTAATACAATCCCTTAATTTAAAAAATGAGTTAGTATCCATAACTTTTTTTATAACTGTAATTTTACAGACGACAGGAAAAAAATCTTAATACTTGTATTTTAAGCCATTTTCTTTAATTAATTTAGATTACTTTAATACCTGTGCTTAAAAGAATTGTTACAAGTGACTTAAATTTTATCTTTTACTATATGATATTTATCTCATCTGACAAACACCTTTTTTTGTCAAGTAAGTTATTTTTGATACTTAATTTTAATGTCTGACAAAATTTAAGTCTTGAAATAAGAACATGTGGGGAGTATACAACAATTTTATGTATTTTTTAACATAATCTTCAATTAGGCATTGATACAATAAAATTTTATCCTAAGATAAATGTATTAATATGAATTTGATCTGATGATGACTCTTGATTCTGGTTTTATGTTTTCAGAGTACTTTGAACATAACAGTTTTGAACAATTTTGCATCAACTATTGCAATGAAAAACTTCAACAATTTTTTAACGAAAGGATTCTGAAGGAGGTAATTGCCATTAAAATTTAAGAACTGCATTAAGCTATTTTAAATTTCAAGGAACAGAGACATGCTCGAGTTACCCCGATCAATGGGGTATAATGTAAGGTGGCCCAGCCCAGGAAATCCAAGATACCCAACATAGGCCCCAGGGGCTCAGCTGTTGCTCTGGTAGATCAGAAGTGTTGATGGCACAGCCTGTGGACCCAATATAAACCCCAGTAGGCACCTCCTTGGAAGTGAACATCTATTGCTTCTTACTAGCAACTTCTACCAGACTTGAAATTCTGCCTGTTTCTTTTTCAGTGTCTGTTGTCATTACTTTGGCTTCTCCTACCCTTCCTCTATGTCTCCCGCTTTTGTCCACTCTGCTGCCTGCGTGCCCTCTTTCTGTGTGTGGCAATGGAGCCATTGGCCTGGAGTGCCCCTGGGCGGTGCTTGCCCTGCCATGCTACCTCGTGCGCTGCCAGTGACCTGTGAATGGTGTGCCTTTGGCCAGACACCAGCCCTTGCCCAGGAAAGACCTTCCTGCCACTGATTGTAGTAAATAACTGTGGGCATGGCCAGTGGTCACAATCCCATGTCTAAGAAAGTCACTTTATAATTGTATACAGAGCACAGAGTGAGTAAAGGTAGCTTTGGATGAGTTGATGTGTGATTCGGCTCACCATTTTTCCTCTTGTATTTGAATTCTCCAGTACTTTCCTACTTATACCCTTGACTTGCTGTCTTTTGGGCTGTTGGAGATATGCCTGAGTGAATGAAGGTAGTAGAGTTAAAGAGAACTCAGAAGCAAGCTAGCCCACCCCTTATTTACAGATGAAGAAATGAATTCCGAGAATAGGTTGAACTTGCCTTCCTGGCTGCTGGCCCACAACACTGTGTTCTCTCAGTATTAGCACTGCTGCTTTCTAAGTTCCCTTCTCTGCTGTATCTGGACTTGAAATGTGAAATATTTTCTTTTCTATTCCCATCCCATTCATCTTTTTGCACATTTTTAGTATGTTTTTGTCTTTATGGGTTACCCAGCACATTCCAGCGTTTATACCTTTACTTATATACCAGAGTTAAACCGGTTCTGGCATAAATAAGCAGGTAAAACAAGCACTTACCAGTGATAATAGTTTCCATGAAAACGTTTATCCAGTAAAGCAGTTTATCCAGCTGCATTAGTTCTTCCATTACTATGTGAAGGTTCACCTGTATGCTTCTCGCTTAACATACTCTAATTCTTCCCTTTCATGCTTCTTTATTTACTGTTATATCTATGGCTGCTTTCACACTGCGATGGCATAATTGAGTAGTGTGACAGAGACAGTATGGCCCACAGCTGAATATATTTACTTTCCAGCCCTTTACAGAAAAAGTTTCCTGAGCCCTGGTCTCTTCTGATAGGTTTGACTTTACAATTGCTAAAAATATTTCAAAGCCCTGGTCTTTCCTTGGGTTTGAATGGTTATACACAGATCTCTATATTTGTGCATACCTGCTCTGCATATTTCAAGAAAAGTGTGCTTATAAGGCAGGCGGTAACATTTCCACATATGGAAATCATACGTTTTGTCAGCCATATAATTTTTGATATTGCATTGCTTTAGGAGCAAAGATTTTGCTTCCCTAATATTTTGTAAAACTCCTTAGCCCCCGAACTTGTTATGAACCTTTGTACTCTGACTAATCAGTAAATGTTATGATCAGAAATGGCACTAAACAATGAATCCATTTCATACCACCTGGTATTTTCATATCTATGATGATGATTATTTCCTTTTAGGAACAAGAACTCTATCAAAAGGAAGGTTTAGGGGTTAATGAAGTACACTATGTGGATAATCAGGACTGTATAGGTATGTATTATTTTTTTTTTACTCCACTTTTGGGAAATCTGGGAAGATAAAGTGAATGCTTTTACTAGTAAATTTTCTGTGGTCTATGATTAATATTATTGGCTATGAGCGCTTATTTGAAATTCCGGTATTTGAGAGATGTTTTGCTTTTCCAGTATTGCTATAGGAAGTTATTTTTCCTGCAAAGGCATCAAATTTAATGTAGAGAGTTTTCCTAAAATTTCTTCTGTTTACTGTGGTGAGTACTTTTTTTCTTAACAGCTAGCGTGAATAATTGCTTAAGTAATAAAGGGATGTGTTATTTCCCACGAGGAGGTCTGTAGTTTAGGCAGGTTCCAGGTGAGCTTTGACTGGGTTTGGCTCTGCTATTCTTCAGGTCTCTCGTTTCTGTTTTCTGTGCATTGGCAGCACCCTCTGACCGGCTGCCAGTGGGCTTCACAAGTTCCATGTGTCACATCCAGATAATATTGTGCAACATGACAACAGTAGGGTCTGTGTTTTTCTTGTCTTTATCAGTTAAGAAACCTTTGTCACCACCTAGCTCTTGCTCAGTCTTCCTTTTCTTTCCCACTGCATCTATAAAATCAACTGTTGGGTAAGCCTTGTTTTGAAAATCCAATTTGACAATTGCGTCAATAACTTCAGTGCCAAATTTAGACAAGATAGTATGATAATAATCATAACAACAATAATAATATTGCTTTACAGTAGTATGACTTTTCAAAGCACTTTCACATCCTATCTGATCCACTCAACATTCCCTGTCACACATTGTATCCTTTCTCAGATCTCCGTGCCTTTGGCTGTGTGGTTTGATATCTTAGCTGGAACCCCTCCCTTTCCATTATCTTTCAGCCCACTCCATCTATCAAAATTCTCTCATTTAAAGCTTAGTTCAGCCTGCTCCCTCCACTCCTTCACCAATGCTAATTGCCCAAGAAGCATCATTTTCTCACCAGTACAGTTAGAATCTTGACTCCTGTTCATATGTTCCGTTAGGTTTTAGAGTCTGTCCCATTTACCTGTTCTTATAGAGTATACTTAAGCAGTTTGCATTTTACAGTTATTTTAGACAAGCAGGAAATTCAAACAACATGAGTGAAAGGAGCATAAAAATGTGCTGTTACTGAAATTTTGCTGGAAAGTATTTCAGGAAATATCTATAAGTAGTTTTAAAAAGCTATGCATGCAAAATCTTCTGTAGTTTTACTTCATTTTGAATGTGGATATCATCTAGAAGAGGTGAAATTTCTGATTCCTTAGCCTCTAGTCCTGAGAAATGAAGTGATTATTTCTTTATGGAGCTGTTTTTCTAAAACCTACATTAAATATATAATGTTACTTTCTAATAAATGCCAGATTTGAAATACAATTTACCTACTGTCTATAGCTTTTGAGAGAATACTTATAGAATCATCTGTTACATTGTTTCTGGCCAGCCCTTGTGATATGTGATGAGTAAATTGTTTACAAGTCTTTAAAATGTTGTTTTTACCCTATCATATTTTGATTTTTCAAAACAGATTTAGTTGAAGCAAAGTTAGTGGGAATATTGGATATTTTGGATGAGGAAAATCGCCTTCCCCAGCCAAGTGATCAACACTTTACATCTGCAGTTCACCAGAAGCACAGAGATCATTTCCGACTCACTGTGAGTTTGCCATTCCAGAATTGATGTATATATATATTTGTTTATGATGATCATCTATCTAATCAAAACCCTTTAGCTAGGTGGAAAGTGTATTTCATCTGTCTTAAAATGTACAAAGATTCACCTCCTATTTTTATGTTCTCTTTTCTGGGTGAAGTGACCATCA